TCAAAGAAGAGGAGTATGAAAGAAGGAAGATATCAACAGCTACTAGGGGTTCTACTGCTGGATGTTGTCCAAAGGCAATCAGGGAGTCCATACTTCTGATAGAAGAGTACCTACAGCCCAACTGACATGTGACAGTGACATGAGTTTGATATGGGGCCACATTTGAACTTTTCGTAGGTACTGAAGATCTGCTGGTTGGTAGTAGTGTCTTAAAAATACACACCTGTATTGCTAGTGGTTGTAATGGATTAGGGCAAAAGGGGAATTGTTTTTTCATTAGTTGCTGATGTTGATACTTTTAGGGGAAAATTATGTCCTGCAATTTTCAAGTTAAAGAACCTCAGATAGAACTAAACTATGTTACTGAAATAGAGGGTTCTCTAGTATTTGTACGGGCTTGATAGCACATGTCTGTCACAGAACTGGCTGTACAGGTTGTCCCCATTGTCGGTGAGTGATGCTGAGTGAGGAGTTCTGATGGGATCACAACATGTTGTGATCTGGGGATAACCTCAGTTCAGTAAAGGCAATTGATTGAGTTACTGCAGTTTCAAAGTGGAAGAAGAATATTCTTCTTGGTCAACACTGACTCAACTGAGGGGAGAAAAATCTTAAAGCCATATTTTATAACAATTTTCTATAAATCTTCTATAAACTAGTGTCATGTAATTCCTAATAAAGGAAACAAAAATGGTTGCATAATGCTTTATGGAAATAAATCTTATGTAAATACTTTGAAATGGTGTTTGATTTTATTCTCTGTCTGTATAGATCATGGATAGATGTACTAGACTTTATTGGAAGTTTTTCTGCCATCCATAGTCTGATAAAAATCCAGCATTTTCTAAACGAAATGGAAATACTAACTAAGACTGTTAATCAGGATTATCTGATTCTGATTTTCTTTTAGGTACTAGGCTAGTATGAACAAGCCTAGTACTGACAGGGGATGCCTGTCCCTCCCAATAGGGAGCTCCCATTTCATCTATCATGGACTTACTGAGAACACAGCATTTGTATGTTATGAAAGGAATTTAAATCACGATTACTGTGTTCAGCTCAAACTACTACCGATTACATTTCCATCAGCCCATCAACTGTATTGAAACACTTTGTACCTAATAGTGAAACTTTTTGTCATTTGTTAGCAAACTGATACTTTGAAGACTGTGTATCTCTTGCATTCAATCATTGTAATGGAAAAGTTGATATATGGTTAATGTTAATATAATTATGCTAAATATAAAATATGTAAATCTACTGGACTTTAATTTTTGCAGGAAGATGCTCTGAGTCCATAATTACAATAATATGCTCTTGCCACTCTTGCATCCTTTTGGGTTGTAACAGCCATTTCCCTTTTTACATAATTTACTAACTTATGTCATTTATCCTGTTACAGGTGCAAACAGAGTTTACAGTGAAAATGGGTAGGCTAAATTAAGTTTTAAGTTATTTAACTTTTAAGTTAAGAAAATGTTATGTATCTTGAATCGCTTGTTTCTCTCTTACTTTGCTGGCATGTATCTTTCCTTGTTATTGACTTTCAGCAGTGGATGTTTTCAGTTTTGAGAAGGAAAATAATCTATGAATTTATTTCTAATTGATTCAGATCGTGCACACACACACAAAAAGAAATTATCCTGATAACTTTTGTTCTCTTGCTTATCTTTTCTAGGAATAGAAAATAGTATTTATCCATGAAATTATTTCTAGTGTATAGGAATCCATCCTTTGTAATAATTGAGGCCTAATATTTATCGAATAATCAGTCACAATGCTTTGCTTCAGCTGTAATTCAGGGTTTTATGATCTGCAATGTGAAGGTTAGCAAGACTTGTTAATGTCCAATTTCTAAGATGAAATAAGATTGAGTGCTTTCAGTTTCTGTAGACAGACTACAAGGAGGGGGGAAAAAAAAACACATGCACCTGATAATATGAGATTGATGATTTTGCTTGTATGATTTTGTTTGTACCAGTATAATACGGACTAAAAGAACATCTCTTCACAGAACAAAGTAGTTATAAATTGCAGAAAGAGAATGTTCCTGTGTCTAGAATAGTTAGGAGCAATGCTTTACTAAAGTTACTACACGTCTGGGTGAATAATACTTGTACCTGTATTGTACTGGAATACTGCATAGAACAAACAGTGATTCATGCTATTCTAATATACCTTTTCTTAAATAGGATGATTCATATCAATATTTCCTTATAGGAAGCCACCATGTTTTTATTTGTTATCAAAACCAGGCTTAGCATATATTAGGTCATTTGAGAAGTTAGCCTGGCTGTTACATGTGCCATGCCTGCTCTGTGAGGATGTAGAGGGTCTCAGGATATTTCCATGGTACTGCACAGTGCAGAGCAAGGGAGCCTCTTCGAAGCAGTGCCTCTGCAATAGGAGAATCCTCTGCTCAGGCTTATTAGATCAGAAGCCTTTTCTAAGTAGCTCTGCAGCTTCAATGTTGGGCTATATAAACATGCTCTATAACCTTCAGGCCAGGTATAATATAGGTGGTGGCAGCTGTCTCTGCAGTGCCCTCCAGGGTCCTATGGGCCAATCTTGTATTTCAAAAATCTTGATTGAATACTAATATGTTATTATTAGATCAAACCTCATGATAGCCCATTTTAAACTGCATAACATTCTGAGTTATTGTTATGATGGGTGACTTAACACATCTGCAACAAGGCTTGGGTTCTGTCTGGTAGGCAAAGTTGCCTAACATTGAATTCCCTGACATCTCAGCTAAACCAATTTGGGCATTGAGCTAAGTCTTTAAAACACACTTGAAGATTTCCACAGCCATGGAAACCATATTTTGGTGTGCAGGTCTAGAGATACCCTGTCCACCTGGCACTGCTTGGGTTTTATTAAACCCTGTGCGTTACAACTGACCAAAACAGAGAAATAAAATCTACAGAAAATATAGTAATTATTTTATACATATTCACTTTCACCTTCCTCTAAGATATTTCTTTGGTTGAATTCTCTTATGTTAAATGACTTCTTGCACTCAGTCTTTGAGAAGTCACATTACTTTCTCTTTGGAAATTCTCTAAGCAACAAATTCATATTCAAGTGCACTCTGAGGACTTCTGTAGGATCACAGTTGCTGACTGTTTGTATCTTGTAGATTTATTTATACTGCTATAAGAAGAGGCTCAAAAAATAGCACATAGTATAATTTGAAAATAATACAAAATAACACCTTTTAAAAAGTCTTCCTTGGCACAAAGAAGCCAAATGATATTTGAGACCATCCTTCCATTATAGATACCTGATGCAGGTTTCTATTGCTGTTTCCAAAGTAAAAATGATAATCATCAGATATTAATTGATTTGGGATCCCACTTCTCCAGTAGGATAAATTTTGACAATGATTAAATTAATGAATTTACTGAAAGGATTCGGAAAAACATCCCTACTTTTATTTTAATATTCAGACACCTCAGAGCTTCAGAAAATATATCAAAGTAGAGGAGATAATCTGCGGAGATAGGGAGATTGGTCATCAGCCAGCTCCAGTGTTTACATAAGTGGCTACAAGAAAAACACAGAATAGAAGCCATCAGTAGCCAGCCAGCCCTTGCTGATGCCACGCAACTAGGCTACAAAAGCATGACATAAATGAGAAACTTTTAAAATCCAAAAAAAGTAGACTTTCAAAGAAAAATCAGGATAACTAAATCAGCTTATACAATTATGAATATAGCCCACAAGTAGAAAAGATCCTGTAAATTTAAATAATACTTAACATCAGAATGTTTTACTTACTAAATAGGCTTTTGAGAGACAGCAGGCTATTCAGTTGAAAATACTGCTCTAAGTACATCAATGATAATGCAATCTTGTTTCATCTTATATATCCCATTATTTTTTACATTAGCAAATAGCTCGAATCTGAAAAGCTATGGAACACCAAAGATGAGCTAGACAGTTTTTGTGAGAGTCTCTTTTTTTTTGATATAAACATAGCAGATCCTAGGAGGGGAATCTAGATAGCTATAAGCCTGTTGGATGAGAGTAGGTAGTCCCCTGTGTATTTGAGCATATCCCTCTCTCATCCTTAGTATTTAACATACTGGTAGGAATACTGGTGGATTGTTGTCTGAAGTATTTTCACATTTTTTCATCTTCTATTTTGTGGTTTTGCAGTCATACTTTCTGATGTTAAAGTTAATGCATTTTCCAGATCATATTCCTATGTGTCATTTTAATCATTCATGCTTAACATTCACACTGCCATTGATATAGTATATTGATATAGTACATAGATATTAATATAGGATTGATTTTGCTTGTCTAATGTGAAAGCTACATTTACAGTAGCTTTTCATCTGATCTGAAAAGAAAAAAAGAAGTGTTGTGTTTTGCCAATCTTGGTTAAAGTGTCTTCCATTGTATTTCTAAATCAAGTACTTAAGACATAGTTATTCCTCCTGAACAAGAGCTTAAATGACGACGCCTGTGCAGCCCTCAATCTACAGACAAAATACTATACTTTCCATTCGTTAAATATATTAAAGGTGGGAAAACCTCAACAACAAAAGAAAAAAAGCTCCTTGAGATGTTATACCAAATGGTGATTTTTGCAGATGGGTTTTAAAAAAGTCCAAGAGAAATTTCTGAAGTGCTTTTTGCCACATATTTGTCCATTCATTCCAGTACTACAGGTGGAGTTAATTTTTCTCTAGAAGACAGGCAATATAGCATTTGTTTCTCATCCTTTATCCTCCTACAGCTAGATGTGCATCATTAAAAGTAATCCAAATGATTTAATATACAACCATTCTTTTCAGACTCCAAGCAGCTATTCACTGTGGCAGCATTAGCGTGTGGGGAGAGAGTGATGTTGGTGGGGAAGGGAGAGTTACATGATTTACCTTTAACATGCCTGCATTGTAAACAAAACTTGGCTCTGCGTACTGATTTCAGCAGGCAACCAGTGTCAACACTGACATTTTCAATCTCTTTCTTTTATGTCACATTAGTGGAAAGTGACCTGTTGTGTTTGTGGAAGCTCTGGAATCCCGCAGGAGAAGGATCACTCAGTGCTGTGGCGATCTGCCAAGTACAACTTGTTCTGAAACCCAGTGGCTCTGAGAAGTTGCATTATCAACTGAAACACAATGTCAGCTTAGCAGGAGGTAGGTGAGACTGTTGATTAGCTGAGTTGTTATGAACAGAATACCCTCCAGGGTACATTGCACCTCTGCTGCCAGGCGCTTCCTCCTCTTTTCTGTTATGGCTTTGCTCGGGTGCTTAGAGATGGTTCAAAGTTGGGCCTCGTTGCTTCAGTTGCTACTGTGTACACTAGAGCTTGAGGTAGAGTTTCCTAGACTGCTAAGCTGATCAAAAGTCATATTTTTATCTTTGAGTGATAACAATTAATAAAGTGGAAAAGGTGCTAATTTAAATATGAATTTTATTTCTGGTGTCCTTTTTCTTTTGTCTGTTTTGTGAAGCCAGAAATCCTAATCCTAATGTCACCTCATATGCTGATAAAATTCTCATAATAAATCTGTCTAATCAATCAGTTCAAAAGAATAAGATACCTGAGCCAATACTAAGGTAGCTAGGTAAGGAATGTAGCTTCTAGATTTATGACAAGATTACACTGCTAGATCCTGGTTAATCTGTTGAGAGCTAATATTTTCAAAATAACTGACAAGTCAATTTCTCCTGATATTTATCATGGACACCAGACAAAAATTAGATCCAAATTTATTCCTTTTATTAGTATTTATTTCTCTTTATTCCACTTAAAGTTACAAATGGGGAAGTTTTAACTATTGTAGAAGAAATGAGAAAATACAAAATTAAATCCGGATTTAGTTTTGAGTATCACATTACCCTGGTAAAATTCAGGAATGTTCTAAAACAGGACATGCCCCTTCACTAGTGGAAATTTTATTACATAAACCAATCAATTATAGAAAAGTTCAGTAGGTACTAGACTTGCAAGTTTTTTAAATTGTATTTCAGAGTTTAAGATTCAGGCACGTCTAGCTGCAATTTTTTTACTCTGATCCAAAATTGTTTTTCTATCCCCTTGTGAGCAATGCTTACCCAAATTAATTTCTTATGGCTTTATTTTAACTTCAGTCTTCAATTTCATCAGTATGTTTTGAACAAAATGATGGGACTATTTAAACCAGTGATGATTATGCAGAAGGGATGAATACAAATCTCAGGGTAGTTAGTGAGACCCTTGCACCCAGGCAGTGTTTTCCTGCTGCATGGGAGCCACTGGAAGTTGTGGCAATGGGAAGAAGTCCTCCCCACCTCACCGTAGCAGGAGTCAGAGCTGTACAGAGCTTAGTTGGTGCTGTTGAGGGGCTGTTGAGGCAGAGCCTGCTCTCCCTTGTTGCTGTTTGTGGAAGAATTTGAAATTTAGAAAACCCACTGAGATCCCCTCATCTCCTGTGTTGTCTGTGCTTTTAGACCAGGGCCAGTGAGCTAAAAACAGAGAAGGGAGAGATGGCAGCATTAGCAGGGGACCGAAGAGCTGAGCATGATATATGCATGTAGAATGAATTAGTGAATGGGTTAGAATAAATTAAGAGGTAAGTTGTATATGAGAAGTAAGCAGGTGAGTGAAGAGACTGGATTTGAACAAATTGATGTCAAAAGATAATATAGATTAAAAAATCTACGCATGTTCAGAAGAACTTGAATATTTATGTAATATGTAATGAAATGTGTTTTATATACATTTATGCATAAAACAACCTTTGAGACAAAAATAAAAAAGAAGAAAGGCCTGATCAAAAAAAAGAGAGGTAGATTGATATGCCATTTTAAAAAAAGAGTTGGATGGCCTCAGAATTATTTGAAACAAAGTTTACAGAACTTATAGAAGACAGTATTAATTTTTTTCACTGACTAAACTAAGCATCCCATTGGACTGTTAACTCGCAGTGGTGGTAAATACAAGGTCATGAGATACAGATTTCCATTTAAAAACATCTTTGCTTTGTTCACTTTTATAATGCCATCTTAACTGAGTCAGTAACAATAGTGGAAGGAAGGTAAGGCTTAAATAATGTTGGCCTGGTTTTCATACTGCTATTGGTTGCAATTTCTGCAGCTGTCAAAAGCTGCATGATTACAAATTTTGTTATTTGTATTCAGTACATCAAGTTTAATAAGGGAACAGACTGAAATAGTCAAAATGTTACATTTTTGTTTTTGACCACACATCTGCAAAACCTAGAACTTTGAAGGCTGTTTTGTAAAGCATATGGTAAGCAGATTGATTTTTCAGAGGGCCTATGGCTACTTTCTACTTGTTAAAATCTCCAGTAAATACATTTTATTCATATGAAATTGTACAGTTTGATCTGTTTTGAAGCTTAAAAATGTTGGCATAGTGTGCCCTGCTAAAAATCAGAAGCAGTAAACACATCTTTTGCTACTGCATTCTGCTGTACTTAGACTTTTCTGATTGAAATGATACTGGGGCCTGTCATGTAGTCCTGTTCGTGTCAGAATTCGTATTTGAGATAGTTACCTTGTGTAAAGTGGCAGAATCAAATCTATAATGAGAAAACAAGTTAAAAAAATCCATTCACTTCGTTTTTGGTTACCACATGGGAGCCACTTCTGCCTGTGTTAACAGATCCAAGTGTCTGCACAAGTCAGACGGAAATGATTAACTTACCAGGATGAAGTTGTTTCAAGTGCAAGTCCTTGAGAAGTGTTCTTTTAGAAATTACCGTTTAGCAGTGATTGCTTTTTTAATCATATGAACATTTGTTGCACTAGAGTGCTAGTGATTCTTTTTTTTTTTTTTTTTTTTTTTTTTTTTTTTTTTTTTTTTTTTTTTTTTTGTGAGGCTGTATTTCTTATATATGGAGAAAGTATCAGCAATCATATACTGCAGCATCTGTGTTAGTAGATGATATTCTGATAATATTGAAGTAAGGAGTGTTTTGCATTCACCAAGAGAAAGATACCCAGCATATTCAGTGGAAATCATTATAGGAAGTAACTAATCCCTTGACATGTTTTTCTCTCTCAAAGCAAATAATTATCTAAGAAAATTCATCACACTTATCAGAAGTCTTAAAACAACAATGCATTACTTTTGTAGGTGTAAACAAAATGGAAAATATATTATTAATGAAGAACTGCTTTTAAAATTTCTAAGATTATAAAAAGCAATATGAACTAAATGAGACTATAAATTATAATATCTATCAGACTTAAGATCTGTATAGCTAAAAAGTATAATATCTATCAGACTAGAAAGTATAATATCTGTCAGAATATAAGATCTGTATAGCTCAAACATAAATATCCAATAGTGTATGCACAGAATCAGTTCAATAGAAAGGCTTTGGAAAAGGTGTCTGAACAAAACAAGCACTTCCTGAAGTCCTGCTCTGCAAGCCACACCCTGCATGGAACTTCCCTTGAAGTCGCACACGTTTTTATGAGATTTCTTGGCCTACTTTTGCAGATTGAGGAGACCTCAGGAGTATTCAAACATGCATATGTTTGACTGAACTGAAATATTTAACTTCTTAGGGACTCAAACTAGAGGAACAGGTTATTTCTGAATTATGAGAAGCTTAGATCTAGATTCAAATATGACTTTGAGCAAATCATTTAGACTTCATCTGTGTAGGTAAGAATGCATGTGATAGTGTCCTTAAGGCCACGTTTCCTGATGATCTTAGCCAATCATAAATTTGAATTGCTCTCGGGTTGTTATAAAGACAACTGTATTGGAAAACAGGAGGAAGTCTGCAGAAACACCCAGATGTACAGAGTCCTCCAATATGTTCTTGCAGGCTCTCATGATGGTTATCTGTGGTATCCCTGCTGCCTGTATCACATATTCCGCAGAGCAGCCCAGCAGAACGCTCATTGTTGCACCAGCTTGCCAAAACTCCTTGTGTTTTACTATGTTCAGTCTGGCAGTTCCTAAAGTGACATTTGGAAACAATGTTGATATAATCCAAAAGTCTAGCCAGAGCCCATAGAAACCATGATGTTTGGGTTAAGCTTGCAATCACTCTCTGTTTTTGTTCAAAACCTGTAGATTGGAAAAAAACGCTACCTTGTTCTAGATTTTATATTTTCTTGGGCAGAGACTGTGTTTAACTGTGTATTTGTCAAAATATCCCGTGTATTATGAGCATAGCACTTACAAATATTTGGATTCCAATCTCAGTCTGATTTTTTATTATTATTATGTATTCAAGCCAGTGTATTCAGTCAAATCCCAAGTCTCAACTCAAGCTTCAGGAGAATGGTCATCAGTCTGCGATTGCTACATCTACAGTGATGTGTTTATGAGTAATCCTAATTGCAGTTATATGTACTTAATTTTTTTAATTGTCTCCTCGATCTTTCTCTCCTCTGGTAATTCTCTGAATGTTTCTGTTTTTATACATTAGAGCAAAAACTGAGACAGGAGGAGTATGATTAAGTATTTAATATAAACCTGTTGGATACTATATGATTAAATGCAAAAAGCACTTCCCATGAATCAGAGCATTTAAGCTATTAAAAGTGAATTAAAATGCAATAAAATTCACAGCTATACTTTTTTTTTAAGAAAAAAAGAGATAATGCTATGGGAACTAGAAAGAGACATTTGTGTGGTTAATCACAATTGTTGCTATACAAATTCTCGTACCTAATCTAATGGATACCAAAATGTATAATAAAGATTAACTGCTAAAGGTTTTGTTGATATAAAAATAGGGTCATCTTGCAAGCTGATACCTCCCACAAGGAAAAAAGACACGGACTGTGTAGAACACCTCTTATTTCAGAAGATTTAGTGTTTTTAAGTGGCAAAAATGCACATTTTAAAAACGATTTAAATTTGAGACCCCATCAACATTGTATTTCTCCAGGTCCCTTCCATTGCTACTGTGATCTATCACGGCATTACTCCAGTCTCATTATAGCTCAACTCAGATTGAGATCTTGACCTATTAACTATGCTATCCTGACTTCAGGCTCATGTTAATTTTCAACATCCAAATCTTTCCAGCTTGCCAACCTAATTGTATTTAGCTAATTACAGACACACTGCTATACTATGGAGGTAGCAGTATCCTTGTGTGGGTAGAACTTCATAGGTAGTCATATGTGTTGTAAATTATTAACTAGATTAAGTTGAATTTCT